CTTATCAAATCATTCACTAACAGAGATTTAGATGAGAGAGAGCTGATATTTAATAGTCCACATTTGATTGTTATTTTGTTCTATAAGAGGAGTCATCTTAATTTTAATTAGGTTCTTATGAATAACTCCTCTCGAGTTGATTTGTGGTTTATATAATTTAAGTGGTGGGGGGCAGACACAGTCTCTATGGGGTACTGGGAGTGTTGGGTGGATAGCAGTTGCAAAGAGATGCAGAGAGGCATGTAAGACTGCAACCCTGTGCCAATGTGGATACTAATAATAAACACTTTGCCAAAGAGTCTCTCTGTATCCATATGAAAATCAGAGCTTTACACCCGCAACAGTGGAGAGTTTTTATATTGATTGTATGATTAGGTGTATTAATAAAGTGGTCTGTAGTAGCAGCAGACCCTGAGAGAAGTATCACCAGCTGCAGTTCCTCTCAATTTATTTTAAAACTTTATAACAAATTTTGGATCATCTTTTTGGGGGCACCGATGGCTGCCTCAGTTCTGTACTGGCAACAAATTCCTTGTGTGTAACATACTTGGCTAATATGGTGGTTATCCATATCCTTATAATTTTCTAGAAACAAACTGACATGTAACTAATTTCAGAGGAAGGCTTTTGAAAAGCACTCCTCTGTAACTGAATAGTAATTACAGGGAAATTAGTCTAATTAGTTAACTACATTGCATTGCTAGTTTAGAGAGTGCGTTAGTCAGTGCACGTCAGGTTCACTAAACATGCAAAAAAATTTCTGTGGCAAGCATTCAAGTAAATGAATATGTAAAATAAACTTTATAACATTTTGAACATTTAGTCAGGCATAGATGTTAGCTTTTCCTCTTTTGTTTGTTTTTTTGTTGTTGTTTGTAAAAATGCAAATATACTCTGCCACCCTCCCCACTGGATTGAGATAGATGTAGTTCTTATGATGCAGAATAATAAAGCAAGTGTATAGACAAGTGGAAATGTAAAATGCTCTTCGCTAGACATACTTTTCAGTTACAGTATATACTGTTACTGTTGGCTACATGTTGTATTTTTATAAAAATAAAGAGTGCGACCCGGCCCCGGATAAGCGGAAGAAAATGGATGGATGGATGGAAAGAGGGCCATTGACACCTGCATATCATAAAACATGCCTTTATAATCCATGGTGCGTGTCTTTTTGATGTAAGTCACTCGTTTTTAACTCTGACAAGAGAAGGATGCAAAAGAATAAATAAATAGATAAAATAAATAAATAAATAGCTTGAGAAATAAAAAAACACAAAATGCCAGACTACACTTCCTTGAGCAAAAATAAGAGTCACGCTACCTTTACTGTTGTAAAGATGGGCTTATTACCTTGATCTTGGGTCTTGTCCTGGGTTCTTGGTGCTACAGGTGTGCGTGGAACCACCATAGCGGTTAGATAAACCTCTGGGTTAGAGAGCATGTTATTTGGCTTTAATCCCTCTGCTCTGTTACCCCCTTTAGCGCCTACTTTTCCTTTCCGATCAGTCCCCCGGCTTTTCAGCCCATTTGGTTCCCTTGGCTTCTGATGTCCTATGCTTTCTTTCCCCCTCCCCTTGGACTCTTCACACAGTCTCCCTCCTCTTCTATCTTCCTTCCCTGCAGTCACTCCATCCTTTCCTTTGGTGTCCCCCAGACTTCTCTCTCTCATTGCTGTCATTCCTCTTCCTCCCCCTCTTCCTCCTCCCCCTCTTCCTCCTCCCCCTCCTCCTCTCTGTTGGCTCCTCAGGGTACTGGAGGACTGCAAGTGCGTGGCCCCAGACACCTGTTTTCCCTGCGGTCGAGTGCATGCATTTGCGGTGGAGGCAGCAGCCTGTGTGTTGGCTCTCCTACTGGCTCCATTTGCTGTGGGTGGTTTTGGGGCTGGGCGGCGCGTGCTCTGCTGGACTTTGTCCTCCACTTTTGGTTGGACATCCGATGGTGTTAGATCTCCTAAACACACACACACACCACCATACAAATAACAGATTATGTATTAAGCAACCAGATACTGTATATACAGTGGGATTAACTGAGTTGCCTACAGTAAGCAGTTTATGATGGATAAGAGTTACTGGAACAGAGCAATAATCCACATTTGATTAGTATTAAATATTTCAAAAACATTTTCATATTTGTCACTCTTTTATTGTAATGCATTTGAGATGAGAGTCGAATGTTTGGGTACCCACACAGTTCCACCCCAATTCACACCAGGACAATAGGCGTTGGTCCACAAGTGAGGGTTCAAAGACAGGTAACAACTCTCACCGATATCAGACCCTAAAGACTGAGCTGGTTGAGGACATTGTTGGCCACCAAAGGACTGAAACACCACCCAGGGGGATAAATACCTCCTGTTCACCACCAGTCACACAGAACTGATGAAGCCTCTTGGATGAGAGGTGAAACGTCTTCTACCTAAAACTACGCCCAGGTGCTTTCTTCTGTGTTTTTTCAGCATACTTGTAATGCAGGTTCTCTGTTTCAAATTTGTAGTTTCAAAGCCCAGTCTTGGAACTAGGAAAAAGTAGCCCCCGGGTGACATCAGGGGGGGGGGGGTTCCTTAGAACTGACTACGCTACTTAAGATCCACAAAACACATTACCCAGTATTGTTTCACAGACTGTCATAGTCTCAACCCTGACAAATAAATATGTTCAAAATAGTGGAATCCCATTTTCTAAGTAAAACACACACACACACACGCCCTGATCATCATATACATGGTCTGTACATAGACACATTCATTTTCAGGAGACATATCCTAACTTTAACCAAAGCCAACATTTGCTCTAACCTTACACCCTGTCATTTTCATAAAATTTGACAAATTAGTCTTAGGGCCCAGCCTCTGGTCCCCACAGCGACTTCCGGTTCCTGCAAAGCAGCCTGTCCACAATGTTCGGTGCCCACAAGTATATATGAAACAATACCACACACACAGAATACTCATGCTATGGCTGTCCATGGTCCCCAAAAGTACATTTCCTCTGTTCTCTAAGGAATCTAAACAATAGTGACAAATTTGATTATAGACTTCACTTCTCGTGCTTCCAACAAAAGAATTGGGTTAATTTCTAACACCAGTGACTCAAATAGCGCAAAGACTGACATGGCCAGCCAGCTCTGGAGTACAGAACACAGTGATGAGTTAAGAGTTTGAAGTAAATGACAAATCTTCATGAGCTGTGATCAGTGGAGTCCAACAATATGAAGATACTGTGCTAGTGCATTCATGTATAACAAGTCACAGTAAGAACTGGTAGTGACACGGCAGCAACCAGGGTTTTCTTTGCTTACAATGTAAAGGCTCCAACAAGAAAATAATCTAGTGTCTGACTGAAAGGGAGTGAGGAGGCTCCAACAAGCACTTACACCAGCAACAAACTCCTTCTCTGATGTTCAGAATACCTAGTGTAAGTCATTGGAAAGAAAACCTGATTTGATCGTGGGCACTTTTAGAGATTAAAGCCGGGATACTTATTAAGGCTACTTCATTCCAGAAATATGCCATTAGAGTGGAATCCCATTCCTGGAATGTACATAGGAATTTCTTATTATAGATACAATAGCATTGCTCCAAAAGGAAGGTGAAACAAATCAATGTCCAGTCAACATACTAGTGTTTCTAGTCAAGACCACCTAAACCAAGAGCAAGTCAAGGATTTTAGGATTCAAGATTTTTATTTGCCATTTATGTCCGTGCAGATTCTCAGTCATCCAGGTCATAGTAAGCTGAAAAAAACTTAGAAGCCTCTTGCACAAGAAGTGAAATGTCTTCAACCTAGATACCTAGTCCAGTTGATTTTTTCTAAGTTTTTTTTTTTTCAGTTCAATTTGCCATTTATGCATAAACAGACAGTCTAGGCATATAAGACTTCTTGTGCAGCTCTCCTCTGGAGTCAGGTAAGGAGTCAAAAGCCAGAAAGAACAGTCTTAAAATAAAAAAAATTACATAGTCCAAGACCTATTGTCACGCTCCTGCCCCTCTTGCTTCCTGTCAGACTTTTATTTTCTCATCACTTCCTGTTTTGTTTCACCTCACTTTTGGCCCTTTTATCTAATCATCATTAGTTCACCTGCACCTTATTGTTTGCACCTGTTTTTCCCTTCTATTTAGGCAGCGTCCTCCCACCAGGACGCTGCCAGATTGTTCTAGACCCCAGCTCTGACTCTCCAGCATTTATCCCTTGCCTGACTCTGTGTTTGACCTAGGACTATCGTTTCTTGACCACTGTGTTTTGTCTATGCCCTCTCAGATTCTGATCGCCTGCTGTGTACCGACCTTCTGCTTTTGTTCCCATTGACCTCGAGTTTGGATCCCCTGGATATACCTGTTAACCGGCGCCGACCCTGGACTGTCTTATCGACCTAAGTGATATCCTGGACTTTTTGTTAGTTTTGTTTACCAGTAAAGAACTTTTCGTTACCTCAGTTCGTCTGGTTATTTAATTGAGTTCACCACATCCTCTGTTTGGCATCTGTATACGCCAATCGTGACACCTATAAGAGGTTGAGACCAAGTCAAGACCAAAACCAGGCCTTGGGGCATCCTGTAGTTGAGTGGTTACAGCACACTGTGTGTGCAACTTAGTCAGATTGAGTCCATCTGCCAACATTTGTTGCAGGTCTCCCCAACTCTCTCTCTCTCTCTCTCTCCTTTGTTTCCTGCCCACATCTCAGTGATTCACTGGAAATAAAAGCTAAAAGTCCAAAATATAACTTAAAAAAGGACCAAGACCAGCGCGGTTAAACTGATAATACTGGCTTGTCTGTGTTTCAGTGACATGAATGACACCATAGAGGAATGAAATTATTGAATATTTTTCCAATAAAAATTCCCCCAAATTACACAAAAAATAAGTGTTTCAGTATAACCAACAGGAGGCCCCTGATGGCTGAAATGAATTTGACTGCAGGCCTACTACACTATATAAGAGTAATTCAGTATTTCTGTGGTAGGCTCCCTCCATCTGGTGTCGCACTTCGTAGACGGTCCCTGTGCACTGGTCTCACAGCAGAAGCACAGAGACCAATGTTACCAGTGTGTGTATATATGTGGGTTAAGCTCAGAGGATGGCTCGTTTTGATGAAAATTGGGTTGTAGCTTGTCTTATGGTTGGAAAGAAGCACATTTGTGTTTTTACAATGTTGACTTATTGATCCAGGAACTTGACACCAGGGTGGCGTCAGGGCACTGTCGGACCATTTTTAGATGGGCTCGAGAGAGAGAGAGCCAAGAGAGCTAAACTCGGCGGGCACCGCTATCAGAGAGCAACAGAGCAGCGGACTGTTTGCCTTTCCACCAGACTTGTCTGAGCAGAAAAAAGAGAGAGTCATTAGAACTTAGAGTGATTTATTATTAACACAGTATGCATTATGAATACAGGTGAGAAAAACTACATTAAAGCTCATATAGTCAGCAAACTTGTAATTATCAATTATTATTAGCTCTTTTGTTGATTCTTGGTAACACCTTCCAACCCTGTCTTGTTATCTATTACTGGTGCAAATAAGTTCAAGTTCTCAGCTACTGTGTTGACCCAGAAGTGTTTTTAGAAATGTACACAAGGTGATCAAAACCTTCTGCTGCAGATACTGTCAAATGCAATGAAAGACACTGTAACATTACATCAGATTTTACAAAAATAAAATGTATTTTACAAAAAGAACGCAATGTATTACACTGATATCTAGCAGTCACAGCCTGGAGCCTTCTGCCTGAAGACACTGAGGAAGCAGATGCTCCATCACACTGTCTCTGTGGCTGGGCAAACAGAGAGGATGAGCTTCAGTGGTGGTGGAGGTCTGCAGCTCCTGCTCAGGTGTTTCATGTTGTCGCTGTGGTTGCCATCACTCACTGTTACAGCTCTGCCTCACGTTGTAGGTTTTAGGCCTGTTAATGGACAGAAGTACAATCCAAGGTGTTTCAAAAACATATTTACAGTTATACAGCTATGAAATAATAAGGCATGTGGTATAGATGATATAACTGCTGAGCAATCTTTCTAGTAAAAAACTGTCCTCTCTTTGCCATTTGTTTGGGTTTTCAGCACACAGTTTTCTACCAAATGCTCGTATATCTGTATTAGCAATGCCTGCAATTAGAGATAAAGCTGACAAACAGTCCAGTGGTGTGTCCAAAGTACTGGAGAGAGTTCTGTTGAGTAGGCTAGAACCTCTTCACTACTGACAATGGCTTTGGCTTTTTTTGGCCTATTTAAATTTGCCTTAAAAGAATTTTTTGATTAAATCCCATAGGCAAAAATGTAACAATGTTTGGAGCTTTTATTGATGTTTCTAAACAAACTAGGAAAAGAAGGGTTGCTGGATATCTAGTGAGTGTAGTGGTTTAAGTTACATGTGTTAATATGGATTATGTAATAGAATAGAGTGTTTGTGTGTTCACTTTTTAGTTTATGTGAGCTGGACAATGGGCTTATATAATTTGGCCAAGATGTTTCCTGTTTTTGGGTACATCTTAGGGTGTTGTCTCCTAAAACTGGAGACAGGAAGCTAAGTTCAGAAATTGACGTAACACCCTAAGAAAGCTGTGGATAAAACAGTGAGGCTGAAGGGTGTAGGAAGGAGAATGCTACAGTGACAGTGAACTGTGTGCTCTTTCGGACCCAGGCCTGGGTAGTATGGATATAAAATCCTATCAAAAATGTTACAAATGCGTGTTTGTCTGTAACAAGCGATTTGTGTGTGTGTGTCATGCTGTTCACAAATGCGTGCTGTACAAACTGCACGTAAAACACATTTTACAAATGCTTAAAATCAATTTTTCGTGTGCAATTCTTTAGAAAGTACGTACAAATTGCGTGGATCGTCTAACACACACGAATCACCTTCCGCGCACACACGGATTTTTGAGAGTGTTTTTCCGCACTCTCAAAAGTCCACGATCCACGAATGCACGGTGCGTTTAAGGACACGTGGAAAACTCGGACATCTGATTTTCCCAAACAAAAGTATTTACACAACGCTATTCCAAATGGACATTACATAAAATAAACTAAAATATCTAATACATAACACGTTTTAACAGAGAACATCCCAGCTGCCTGCAGTTTGTGGTGCATGTTCTAAATTTTTATATATTAAATATATGCTTCACATCAACACTTAGGCACAGTGAGTGCCTTAAAGCCAAATGAACGTAAAATTAGAATGAATGTAAAAACATCAACAAGAGTTCTATGCTGAAAAACGATGGAGGTGGCTTGATCTCAAACAGAAATGTACTGCTGGCATCAGGAATGAACTGTTAATCTGACCTGAACAAATGTTTGCGTGATTAAGGCTTTTCTTCCTCAGGAAGCTGAAACGTGCTGGTCTCTCCTCTCAGTTGCTCGCAAACTTCTACAGAGCAACAGTAGAGAGCATCCTCTGTCTCAGTGCAACAGTGTCAGAATCATAATCAGAATCTGCTTTATTTGCCAGGTGTGTTGGACACACAAAGAATTTGACTCTGGTACATCGGCTCTCAATGTGCAAGTATAACAAAATAAGCAGTATTAACAGCAACAAACAGTGCAAAATAAGCAGTATAAACAGGCAGTAAACAATGCAGACAGACAAAGTAATAGAAAAAAATTGGAATATAAATAGAGTACTTAAAAATAGAGACCTGTCCAGATCTGTATAATCTGTACAATGTATATTTACAGGTACTGCACTGAGAGTTATTGTCCAGTCACACTGTCGTGGGTAAAGTGTTAATCAGAGTGACAGCCTGGGGGAAAAAACTGTCCTTGTGCCTGGTTGTCTTGGTGCACAGTGACCTGTAATGCCGTCCAGAGGGGAGGAGTTCAAACAGATTGTGTCCAGGGTGTGAGGAGTCTGCACTGCACAGGACAGAAGGGACTTGACCCAGGTGGTGAGAACAGCTCAGGGCATTGTAGGGAGTCCTCTTCTGGATCTGGACTCACTATACGCTGACCGGATCCAGAGGAGTGCTGGATGGATTGCTGCAGACCCCACCCAACCAGGCAACAGTCTGTCTGTGCCTCTTCCCTCCAGGATAGGGTACAGGAATATAAAGACTAAAACAAACAGACTAAGACACATCTTCGTCCCCAGAGCTGTGAAATCAACACCCCCCTAACCCCCAGTCACACACACACACACACACACACACACACAAAACAACCCCCCCACAGACAGTTACAGATAGAATACTGGACTCCTGCAGATGCACACACATGCTCACAGCTCTTCTTAAAGACTGACATTTGCACTGAGCTGCACTTTAGAATGTGACTATATTCTTCTGCTGCTAATATGCTGTTGACCTGATTAGGTCCTACACATCTTCATTTTTATCTGTTCATATTCTTATATTGACTTGTACAATTTTTGGTTTTTATGTAAATAATGTGTCTTTTAAGCTGAGAGCTACTGGAAGAAATTTTGTTGTGCTATGCATAATGACAATAAAGATTCTTGTCTTGACTTGACTTTACTTGTTAAGCTAATCAAACAACTGATTGGCTATTCCTCTGTATTGTCGGGATTGCAGTTACACCCAGACTGGATTAATATCAGGAAGACAACAGATGATAGAGATAAAATAAAACTAATGTGTCCTATTTAACTGCTAAGAATTTGCTAAGCTAGCTAAGAAAGATACTAATGTACTGAATTAAGTTGTGTTAGCCTTGGAAACTGGACTACAGTAAAGTTGCAATGATATTCACAGATTCCAAGTTCCTGGATCAATAAGTCATTCCAAAACATATTGAAGATACAAGCAGTGCCTCTTCCAAACCGTAAGGTATAAAACAAGCTACAGCACAATTTTCATCAAAAGGATCTTTACCCACATATACACAGTCACCAGACCAGCAAAATTGGTCTCTGTGAAGCTGTTGTGAGACCAGTGCGCAGGAGCCATCTGCACAGTGCAATAGTGAACAGAAAGAGCCTACTGCAAAAATATTAAACTATCATGGGGATTGCTTTTATGGCATTATGGGGAAACTGAGTTGCCCTTGGCAGAGGTTTCATTCTCTGAGTGCTGTCTAGTTCAGTTAGATTACTGTTACAGTCAAACATTTAAGAATACAGAGTACTGTATGCTAAATAGCTAACTAACTTTTATTCAAAATAAATGTAAACTGAGATTAAGGTCCACAGAATTATCTCTAATAATGATAAAAGGCTCACCAAACTTCTTTACAGTAAATTTTAGTCACTAGCACTGAGTCAGTGAATCATTTTGTAGGCTCAGTATCATGCGTGGTTAATAATAGGAATCAAGCTGTTACAGCACATAATGGCTTTACAAACAAACCCCTGAACTGAAAGACAAAACACATAAGAGCAGACTAAAAGCAATGGCTAACTCAAAATCTTAGCCAAAGTCAGCCTAAATCTCATGTTTATGTGTTTATCAAATGCTTCCGGACAACTGTATTACTCAATTATTTTTAAAGTGTTGTTAATGCACTTACCAGCCAGTTTATATTTCTATCATGGCTCCTCAGGTCACTCGGCTCTCTGTAGCCTGCCACCTGTCAGTTATTCAAGTTGATGCAATGTGTCCCACGGGCCAAAACAGTCAGTGCAGACCATGGTTGCAAATTGTGTCACAAAAGCGAGATGGCTGCCCTCGTGTTCGCGCTATTTTGGCTTCAGTTTTCCATTGACGGAGAAAGTGGTGACATGTCATCCATCTTTATATAAAAAAATTATGATTTAAACCTATTGTCTTGCTTTGTTTTACCCCTTGGTGTTTTGTTTTTTCTGATCAATAGTGTTCATACCTGTGATGTGTGGGGAGGAAGTGTGGGAATCCTTCCAGCTGTCTTTCTTGCCTAAAGAGTTGTTGTTGATGGAGTCCTGGACAGAGGCAAAGAAACAAAGCAGCAGTGTAAGAGCAAAAACCAACATGGCATTGTGTTATCTCCGACACACACTCGCTCATGTACACACAGGAGGATATCTTGTTCACAGTTTAGCCAGAGGTAGTAAACAATCAAAACCATAAAATCACATCTTCTTACCAATGTAGCTATGAGGATTGTAGATAGTAAAGCTAATGCACACAGAGGAGCAGAGGATCTGTTTTCATAAACTCTGCTCCAAGCCTCATTGTCCAAATCCGTGAAAGGAGCCTGAGATTTGCCCAGAATAAACAAGACTTTTCTATTGAAGAGTTGAATAAAGATATATCTTTTAAGAGCCTGTAATGCTTAATTTGGGTTTATAATGTAGTGGTTAAAAATAAACAAGGTACCAGTCCAGAGGTAATATGTAATAGAACAGTATGTGTCCCCCTTGTTTAATTTATGGGTAAACATCCAGAGCGACTTCCTCCTTAAGTGGGGAAGGGACATAGCTTCAGCCTTATGTGGACTGTTTGTGTGCTCTGTTCAGGTTTAGAAAAAGGAAATGTGCGCTAGGTCAATGCGACCTAAAAGTTCATGTACTGGACAACTTAGACAATGCTCGGAAGAAGGGGTGTGGAGCTGGCATGGGACTGTGTCTCTGGCTCAGGCCATAGAAGGCTGTGTAACTGCGAGCAGAAAAAGGCTAGGTTAGCTGGGTTAGGGGGAGTAGAAGAGATGATGAGAATGCTACAGTGAAAGTGTACTGTGGACCCAGGATGGGGGATAGGGGGAACGAACTCAGGACTGACTGGACCCCTGATCTAGATGGACTGACTGACTGACTCTGGACTGACTGGCGCTCAATCTTCTTATTTAATACATTATCCCATTGCAGGAGGAGTGAGTCTGTTCTCTGTTTCCTAACTACCAGATTACCTATTTAACTACTACTCTGTTCAGAATAATTGTAATATTAAATGATTACTTAAATTGGGATGATTTGTCTGAATTAATTTAGTCAGTATTACATTGACAATGTCATGATTAAATGGTTAACGTTGGATGGATGTTCAAAATAATCAATTCAAATTGAAAAATTTGAGTGAAAATGGGTGAAAAAACACTTGCTCCTGTCAGGTCCGCTCGGCACGACCTGCCTCTCTTCTGCCTTTCTCTCTCCTGCTCACTCTTTTTGCAGGACGTCGATGTCTCAGTGTCGCTTTTTGTAATCAGTGACTTGTCACGCACAGCTGGGGCACATCACTGTAATCACCCTCCTACTTTATTTATACCTCTAGCGGATGCTCTGCCATCGCCGGAGCATTAACTACTGTAATGTGCATACCCCGTAACAGCCATATATTTTGTGGTATGTATTTGTACATCATTATGTTTTTCACACTGACAGTTCCTGTGCAGTGGATCGCATTTTGTACGCTGGTTATATGTTTAGTGTTATAGGTCCACACTGACAGTTCTTGTGCTGTGGATTTCTCTTTATGTTTTTTCTGTGAGGTTAGCTAGACGTATTTTTTGTTATCCATGCTGAAAGTTCCTGTGCTGTGGATTTCCAATTTTCGTTGGTCTGTCCTCATGGTTAGCCTGTCTATTCACCTGCCCGTCCTCATCCTCCTGCTCACCTTAGTCTTGCCGTTAGTTTGTCCTTGTACTGTATTCATTGACTGTTCCTTTTTTTGTGTGTGTGTTCCCCACCATTAAACCACCATTTTTACTAGCACCTGGGTCAGCAATTTTGAGACCTACCATAGTTCTCCCTCACCCTCCTGGTGAGGGGGAAAAGCCTTAACAGCTCCCTCAAGTGGAGGAGTTTAAGTATCTCGGGGTCTTGTTCAGGAGTGAGGGAAAAATGGAGCGGCAGGCTGACAGGCGGATCGGTGTAGCATCCACAGTAATGCGGTCAATGTACCGGTCCGCTGTGGAAAAGAAGGAGCTGAGTCGTAAGACAAAGCTCTCAATTTACCGGTTGATCTATGTTCCTACCCTCACCTGTGGTCATGAACTTTGGATCATGACTGAAAGAATGAGATCATGGATACAAGCAGCTTCTCCACATTGAGCGGAACCAGTTGAGGGGACTCGAGCACCTGTTTAGGATGGCCTCTGGATGCCTCCCTGGGGAGGTATTCCAGGCATATCCCTCTGGGAGAAGGCCTCAGGGCAGACCCAGGACACGTTAGAGAGACTATGTGTCCCGGCTGGCCTGGGAACGCCTTGGGGTTCCTCCTCAGGAGGAACCCCAAGGCGTGTGTGGGGAGAGGGAAGTCTGAGAGGCTCTGCTACGACTACTGCCCCTGCGACCTGGTCTCGGATAAAGCGGATGAAGATGGATGGATGGATGGATGGGTGAAAAAAGTTACTCAACTGGTCAAATCCAATAAAAAATATTCTTACACATGCAGCCATCTTAAATTGCTGGCTGGGCTGCAGTGGAACCATGCTTAATCCATGACAGGTCTGCACAAGGCCCCTGCTCTTACCGTGTATCCCCCTTGATGATGCAGTGATCGCAGCGCCGCACTGTTAAAGCCCCTAAGCACCATGTGTACAAGCCATCCACAGTGTTGTATATATCTGCCAGGTAGAGCAGTGTTTGTTAAGGGCAAGGGTGCAAGCCTAAGCTGAATCATCATTCTTGTATTAGAGATACTGTATAACCATATGGGCTCAGAATTTTTTTTTTGGATATGGCATTTCGCTTCGTGAGGTAGTGAGGGGTTATTGCACATATATTCTCACATTTTTGTAAGGGGTTATTGCGCATATATTTTACATTTCTCACATTTTCGTATTTGCCATCAGTCTTACTGCAGCTGGGACAAAGCTGCATGAGTGGCTGCATCTGTAGATTGCTTTCTCTCTCTTGCTGAGATTATTGCCAGGAAGTGGCATGAGTGTCAGTCATGAATGTATTATTGAAAGCTGGATACAGTGCTGCCACTCAGCCATTCAGCCAATTTTTCTCAGTGGCCACTGGCAGTACTGCAATGGAAAAACCTCATGGGGCCCAAATAGCATTTTTTCCATAGACCACGATGATAAAAAGAGACATCTGTAAAACTGTTGATAGGACAATTCAAAGTGTAAACTAGGTCATTTATCACTCTTTGTATTATCTGTTTTTGATTTATGGAGGTTTTCCATCCATCCATCCATTTTCCTCCACTTATCTGGGACCGGGTCGCAGGGGCAGCAGTCTAAGCAAAGATGCCCAGACTTCCCTCTCTCCAGACACTTCCTCCAGCTCCTCCGGGGAAATGCCGAGGTGTTCCCAGGCCAGCCGAGAGACATAGTCCCTCCGGCGTGTCCTAGGTCTTCCCCGGGGCCGCCTCGAGTGTGGGACATTCCTGGAACACCTCCATAGGAAGGTGCCCAGGAGGCATCCGAAACAGATGCCCGAGCCACCTCAGCTGGCTCCTCTCGATGTGTAGGAGCACTGGTTCTACTCTGACCTCCTCCTGAGTGACCGAGCTCCTCACCTTATCTCTAAGGGTGTGCCCAGCCGCTCTCC